GCGGAGCAGGGAGCCCGATGCGGGACTCGATCCCAGGACCCTGGGATCATGACCTGAGCTGAAGGCAGACGCTTAACCGACTGAGCCACCCAGGCGTCCCCAAACCATAAGAGTTTTAACAGTAACAAGAGCCAGCATATATTTAATGATTGGGGGGCTTAGCAGGTCCCTTTCGTTGTTGCACGTATTCTCCCAACAGCGTGGGGTTTACCCTCTGTGTGGCTTTTGTACACATTTGCAGGGCAGGAAACAAGCTTGGAGGCATTATGTTACTTGCCCACAATCATGGTCTACCATGGTCATGCTGCTAGTTACGAATTAGATCATTCTAGATGAATAAAATTAAGACCAAAACCCCTTTTATAACTTAACATAATTTCTTTCCTTACTGTGTCCAAGGAAAGGCTGAAAGTTTGTCCTCCTTCGGAGAGAGGTTGATGACCGTCTCTCTGAGCTTGCGTCTGACCGTTTTTCCAGCCTCCCTAGCTGCGTAGCACGGGGAAGAGGCCATCATGAGGTTAGGCACAGAACACCTTAGCAATCATGTCACCTGGTGACATTTAACATCTGTGCTTCAGTTTCTTCATCTTTAAAATTAGGGTCACTATCTTTCCTGCCTACGTCTCAGGTTTTTTTAAGGTATAAGGAAAATACTCCATAAACTGAAATATATAAGATGTTGGGGTCGTCATTGTTATCCAGAGAGGATTTGGGCACAGTCCTCCTGGACTCTGATGCCGTGTTGAAGCACCATCTGCTGTTAACCACTATAAGCTCTTGAGTAAATATCAGGGTTGCCAAGAACCGTGGTGGTGCCAACCTAGTAAAGAGATGGTTTAGAAATCTAGGCTGGTTTCACGGTGTTTGTTCAGTCTTTTCGAAGTCTTAGGGAAAAATGAAACTTTTTCAAACCCACTGAGTATTCCCCGGACCATGTTTGAAGCATGACTTTTGCTAAGTTGAAAACTGATTTTTAAGTTATTGCTGAGCAGAGAAGTCAGGGCCTTTTTTCAAGTTGCTGAAAGAATTTTTTTCGTGTACTCTCTTCTGACTCGAAAGCAACTAAAGAGATTTTACTCAGACCTTTTTAAAAAAAGATCAGCTCTGGGGTAGAATCTGAACATGAAAGGTTTCAGTTGCAAGAAAGAAATTTCTGTAAAGTTCTAAGTGAATACCAAGTATGTAACTTCAAGCTCCTTCTCTTTGCAAGAAGGGACTTGAATTTTTTTTAATTTATTTATTTGTGTTTTTAACAACTCAAATTCATGGGAGCCCTCAAAGGGCTGGGAATGCAGCGTCCTTTGGGGAATGGACCTGTGTTCAGACTGTACCCATTCCAGGTGTTGGCTTGTTCTGCCCCAGCTCTTTAATCCATTCCTGCCGTGTTCCTAAGCAGAGCTCATCCCGATGTCAGAAGTGGGAGAGTGGGTCTCCTATTGTAAGGAGTGACAGTGAGATGAATGGGAGCCCCACTGTTCTCTTGCCTTGGTATTCTTTTTCCTTCTCACTCATGTCTCAAATCTCTCTCTTTCAGGTTGACAGACTGATGGAGTTGCATTTTAAGTATCTGGACGCAATGCAGGTGGCGGACAAGAAGATTGAAGGGGAAAAACATGTACGTATCCCTGCTTGTCTTTTACCGACTATCGACTCGCATTCCACTTGGATCCCTTTGTACCTTCTCTGTCCACACAGGACAGGTAAGGGCACGGGTACCATCTGCCCTCACGTGCCACCTCACCTGTTGTTAGAGCAGAGCAGGTGACAGTCTGCCAGTGGTTATACCTGCTCTTCTAATAGGAGTGCATGTCCTTTAAGAGGGAGGACGTGTCGGATTGATCCCTGTCCCCCAGCCGTTAGGAAACTTGGCCCGCTTCCCACGGTCTGGGTGATAGCACGAATACCCTTGACATGAGCTGCTCTTAAAAAATCTGGCCAAAGTGCACTGCAGTGACTTGGTACCACGTCGGCAGAGCTGGCAGAGCGTGTCTTGGTTCACACTGCTGCTGGCTTCTGTAGTCATAAGGGAAGGGAAGGAAGGACGCGTGGGAAGGGTGATCACAGGGGATAAGAACTGGAAGGAAATTTTGAGGTCACTCATTGACAGTTGAAAAACTGGAGACCTGGAGAAAAGAGGCTCAGATGCATCACAGCAAAGCCTGCAGACCAGGCTCCAGAGGACCCACCCTCATTTCTTCTGCTCACGGCTGCTGAGGGAAACGAAACCTGTCAGGTTTTTTCTTGAAGAGCTGTGCTCGCTGTGCTAGTATCCTGCCTTATGTACTTTCCACCTGCTTCCCTTTTGTTCTCTGCCATCTCTGGCCTCTACTTTTCTCATCTGTCACCTTCATCGGGGCAGGCATTCATGTTGCTTAATGTCCAATCTGTATTCTCCCTGCAAGACATTCCTCAGTCTTTGGTCACATCGCCAGAGGATCCTTTCCTTGCTTTTTACAAAGTCTGTAATAGACTTCATTTTCTTTGTGATCTTGATTTGCTATATCACTCCATTCTCTTTTTGTTCTTCTTGCCTTAAGGATGCACTGGAGGCTTTTGACCCTCACTGGTGGGAGAGCCAGTTCAGCCCCTGCTCACATCTGTGTTGGAGCAACGGAGCTGTGGGGCAGACCCAAGTGCACAGGGGATGACTACGCTAGCATTTGCCCTCAAGCTAGGCCTCAGGCGAGGGTGAGAGCCCAGAGGGAGGACACAGTGACCCTGTTGTCTGTGTCCTGTTTCTCTTCACCCCTTCATATCCACCCCTGTCCTTTCACAAGATATACCTTCATTTATGAATGCCAGTGGACAGGTAGCTGTGGTTATCATGCCCGGGATTTCCCTCAACCTAGTAAGTCCTCAGATGTTTGTTGATTGATTGAATTGACTGACTGGGACATGCTTCGTTTAGACAGTGATACTCCTACACGATAAAAGGCAGGGGCTCTGAATTTTGAGTCTGGACTTCAGATGCTAGCATGTTGCACTCACAGCTCTTTTGTTCTGCCCTCCCACCCCCTTTATTTTGTTCTTTGACTGAGGTTTCCTTTTCCGTCTTTTCTTCCCTTTACAGTAACTTGTGCATTATGGACACTTAGTGACTGTTTAAGTACCAGAGTAATGTCTTCTTTCTCTTCGTCTGAGTGATAATTAGAAAGAATTGAAATTTCCCTAGACTTTTGTAGGGAAACAGCCACGAGACAATGAGAACTCCAGCTCTGACAGAAGACCTGTGTTGTCTGCTGGAGGAGATTTTCAGGGGTAGAAAGAGCACCTGGGAGTCGAGGGACCTAGAATTTTAGGCAGGCACCACCTCTCCATCACTGTGTGGCCGTGGCTTGTCACCATGCTTCATGTGCATAGCCAGATTCTTAGCAGTAACACGGTATCAGCAAAGGTGATCTCTCAGGTCCTCTTCCACTCAGTGTTGTCCCTCAGGTTCAAGTGCACATCCTTTGGTCACTCTGCTGGCTTTTAGCAGTGGGGTGGAGTTCGAGCACCGTGAGAGGGTGACCAGTGACCATGCGGTCCTTCGTACAGAGGCGCAGCCTCCGAGAAAAGGTTGGGTGAGTGGCGAGTCGCAGAACCCTGGATTTGGATTCCAGCTCTGCCACATCCTAGCTCAGAGACCTTGGACAAATGATTTGACCTCTCTAAACTTTGGTCATCCCATCTGTAAAATGGAAATAACACTTCCCTTTTGGGGTTATTATAAAGTCTGTAAAGCACCTCAGTACATTTCTAAGAGCCGCTGCTGCTTGGTGCTCCTAGCTTCCTTTGTCGTTCTTATGCAGCTTTTAAGCGAGCCAGGCAGTCCTTCTCCTGAGGGCATCTTCCTTGCTATCTGTCCCGGAGGGAGTCCCCTAACAGACCAGAGTGTTGGCCCCGTCATATACTTCATTTGAGGGGAAGCTGGAGTAGACGTTTTTCTGACGGAGACCAAGTAAGCTGTTGGGCGTGAGGGAGCAGCATGCGTGTAGCCGTTAGGAAACTTGGCCCGCTTCCCACAAGATTATCTATGATCAGCACTGGAGAGGGTGTGAAATTGATTAGCACCCATGGAGAGTAATCGCCGCAGCGACTCTCCCCCAGCCTCCACAGAGCTCCTGTGTGCCATGGGCACCGGGCTCCTGCCATTTCCTGACAGACATCTGTCTCCATGATGCCAAGGCCATTTTGCTGGGCACTGGTGAACATTCCAAGGCCATTAGTGCTCAGCAGCCTCAGTGTTGCTCAGAGAGACAGGGCAGGGTGGGGGACGAGGGACGCATTTGTGAGCTGTGCTCTCTGCCAGCACTCGGGCTCCGTCCTGGCAGATGTAAAGTGACTCGGAACACAACGACCTCTTTTTCACCTCTCCTTCATGCACTCTTCTCTCTTAAGTCGTAAACAATTTGCTGCCTCACCCCACCCCATCTCCATTAAACTTGGATGTCCTACACCCATTGGGAACTCAGCAAATATTTGTTGACTCGAATTGAATGCTTATTTCTCAGGCATTTGATGACATTGACTGTCAGATCAGTAATGAATAAATATCTCGCGCACTTCCACACTTCACCAGGTCTGCAACAAAAAAGACCTTAGGGGGCAGCTGGGTGGCTCAGTCGTTAAGCGTCTGCCTTCGGCTCAGGTCATGATCCCAGGGTCCTAGGATTGAGCCCCGCGTCAGGCTCCCTGCTCAGTGGGAAGCCTGCTTCTCCCTCTCCCACTCCCTCTACTTGTGTTCCCTCTCTCGCTGTGTCTCTTTCTGTCAAATAAATAAAATCTTAAAAAAAAAAAAAAAGACATTAGATAACAGCGTCCGGTACTGCCCCAGATAATACGGGTCAGGTATTGACAGTTTTAGTGTCTCAGAACTCCCATCTTCCCTGGACACTTGAGACTTCCACGGGCACAGTGCAAATGGCCACGGTTTGCAGTTGACCAGGATTCACTGGAGAGAGTCCAGTCATTTGGCAAATATTTCTCAGGCACCTGCTCTGTGCGAGGCACCAGGCCAGCCACTGGCCGGGGGTGAGAGTTAGAAGTGCCCGTGGGAAGAAGGGGCCCCAGGAGCGGTGCTGCTGGCGAAGGCTAGAAGCGCCCAGGGAGCAGGAAGCAGTCGACTGCGCCTGGGGGCACCCTCAGCTGTTTCGTGCAGGAGGCCAGGTTCAAGCTGCACATTAAGAAATAGACACACATCAGGCATTTCCAACTGAAGAAGAGCAGGAGCAAAGCAGGGGCAGAGGGAGCCAAGTTTGGGGAGCGAGTGGGAAGTTAAATCCCAGGAGCAGAGGGAAAGAAGGGAGAGCGTGGGCTCTAGAGCCCGGCTTCCTTCTGCTTCTGACTGCGGACAAGTCACTTAAACTTTTCAGCCTTATTTTCTTCCTCAGTGGTGTTTTCTTTCTAAGGTGTATGTCCCAACCTGTGTACTTTGGGGAATTACAGAGGTGGGATTTAGTGACCTAACACCCGAAAACTGTTTCACAGGGCTTGGCACATAGCCGGTGGCCAGAGAACCTTTCATTGTCTCTTTAAGGACTGCCTGCACCCCATCACTCCTGCACACGCGCGCGCGGACGGACACACACACACACACACACACACACACACACACACACTTTCTAACTCCCCTGGGACTGCAATATTTTGCGTGATCTGGGTGCCCTCTGTTTCATTAACTTCCTCTCCCACACCTGTGCTCTCCTTCCTGCCTTAGCACCTTTGCATTTGCTTCTCCCCACTGACCTCACTCTTCTCTTGCTGGTGCTTCCCTCCATCTTCAGGTCTCAGCCTAAATGTCACCTCCTCAGAGAGTTTTCAGTGATCACCATATGGAAAGTAGCATCACCCCGTCTCCAGGGCCCCTTCATAACCTCTCAGTATTTGCTTGTTTACTCTCTGTCTCTGGGGCTGTCATCTCACTTGTTCATCATATTCTAAGGACTTACATAGTGACTGACATGCATTAAATGAAGGACCATCGCTCATGAGATGAAATTAACATTTGTCTCTGGGTATTAAGGAAAATTGAAGGTCCTGGGTTTTTTTCTAAATTGTTCCTTAACTCTCATTTTTAACCCTCTTCTTTTGTTTGCTGTATGATTAGCCCCATCATCAAAAATATCTCAGGTCATCTATGTAGATTCTGTGGCCTACCTGTGGCAGTGTTCGGCAAGGTGAAACACTCCTATTTAGAAGAGTCTACAGGACAAGCTGATAATTCTACACACATTCAGTTGGAATCACATTACTGCAGTAATCTGTAACTGGCAAAGACTTCCACGTCTGGGGCAGTGGTCCACTGCTTTCATATTGTCTTCAGTGACTGCTCGATTCCAGGGCCACAGTGTATCTGGACATGCCCTTGGGGCTCCTGGTTAACAAGATTTGACCTGAACTTTTAAAGGGCATGTAATTCTTAGTCTTCTAGTGAGCAGCAGTTCTCCATGATCTGTAAATATCCAGGATGCTTGTCTCAGCAGATTTTATCTGACTCCCCAAACAACACCAAGTCCAGAAAATACCAAGGTCCCTGTTACTGGGAAGATGTCCTGACTTCTCATTGGTTCCTTCTGGCTTCCCTCGGTTAAATGTACAGAGATGCCTGGCTTCTGACTGTCAGAAGTGAGACAT